CTACTACTACTACTACTACTACTACTATTCTACTACTACTACTACTATTACTACTACTACTACTACTACTACTACTACTACTAGTAGTATTACCTCTACTGTTTTGTACTACTACTACTACGACTACTTCGACTACTACTACTACTACTACTACTACTACTACTACTACTACTACTACTACTACTACTACTACTACTACTACTACTACTACTACTACTACTACTAGTACTACTACTACTACTACTACTACTACTACTACTACTACTACTACTACTACTACTACTACTACTACTACTACTACTACTACTACTACTACTACTCCTTGGCGGTGGACCTGGGCGGCGGGATCACTCCCTGGCTGCTCTCGGCGGTCGTCGCCCTCCCTACGGCGACGGCCGCGTGCAGTCTCTGCGGAGGCTGCTGCGTCGGGGTCCTCGTGACCCGCTGGTGGGGGCGCCTGCCCTTCACCAGACCGCGCGCCGCGGCTCCTGCTCCCTTTGAGCAGAGCCGTCGTGAGTCGCGGGCGCTGGGGTACGGCACCGCGCCTGCCCTGGTTGACCCGGCCCTTGCGCAGGCCCGTGCTCTGCGGGCTCCGGCAGCTCGCGAGGCTGCCGTCACCCCGCCACGGGGTTGAGCGCCTTCGAGTGGCCCTCTTCGGCTGCTTGTCGCGAAGCTAGCTCGCCCGCGTGTCACTGCGCGCGCCACGGCTATGGCGGACTTGCCAGGAGGTCCCCCTCTTGCCGCCCCCTTTGGCGCGGAACTACGCCCGTTGGCGCCCGGCCGAGGGCGATGCCAGGTTCGCGGCCGTCCCTTTGCCACCCGCGAGGGGGTCATCCTCGTGGCTCTGCCCGCCTCTTTCAGGTCGGCCGAAGCTCTCGAGGCCGGCGAGGTTGCTGCTTTCACGGGCGTCACCGGCCTTTTTCAGGTCGCGAACATCCTTCTTCTGGGTGCCGCCTCGCGCGCATTGTCCACCATGGCAGCCGTCCTCGTTGTGGACCTCGAGATCGCCGAGCTCGAGATCGAGTCCTTGTACCCCCTGGGAGAAGGCACTCTGCGCGGGGCTGTGCGTGTTGGCCGCGCCCTTCAAGCGTGTGCACCCTACGAGAGGGGTATCTGGCGATCCACGGAGCCCCTGTCGACGGCGGCCAGGATCTCCCTCCTGGCGCCGACCGTGCGACCCCGTGCCAAGCGGCGGACGAAGCGGGGCCCGATGCGGAGGGCACCGACGGCGACGCCACCCCCCGACCCAGCTGCTGGTAGCCCCGTCGGCCGCTTTTCTGGGACCGCCTCCGCCGTCCGTGGGCTGCGGGGGCCCCGCCGTCGATGCTGAGAGACGTCGCGCCGGTGACCCGCGCGGAGGTCGCCTCCGACATGCGCATCTCGCCCCTGCCCCCCAGGGTCCTCGGCTGGAGGCCCCGCGGCTGTTCGCCGACGAGGCCGAGCGACTGGGCCTGCAGTCGACGGAGGTCGAGGCCATCTTGGCCAGGGCCCCAGTGCCTCCGCAGCGCGTCCAGCCGCGAGCGCCGACGCCTACGTCTGCCCCAGTGGCCGCGCAGGGGAAGGGGCGAGGGGGCGCCGCTTCCAGAGCGCCGCCAACTGCCGCTCCATCAGCCGTCCTGCCGCCCCCTGGGCTGGCCCCTCCCCCCGCGGCTTTCGGCCCCGCCGAGGGGGTCGTCAGGGTCGCCCTGGGGTCGCCTGCCGAGGCGCCTCAGTCCTCGCTGGACTCGCCCTCGCGTGCTTGCGGGAGGCCCTCCAGAGGGCGCAGCTCGCGCGCCTTGCGTATCGTCCGCTGCTGGGGTCCCTGGGCGACCGCGCGCAGGCCCCCTCTGCGGGCGCGAGCGACCCGGGCGCATCCTCCAACCAGATGTGCTGGATCCCTTTCTGCCACGCGAGTGGCGGCGGGTGCCCATCCAGCGCGGCCCTGCTGTGCGCGAGATGCTGAAGGAGAATCTCGCTCGCGCCATTGGCGTGGAGGTCCGCGCGCTGGCCCCGCTGGTGGGTTCCAGTGTATTCCAGAACAGAGCCCTTTTGGGTGCTCAGTCGACGACGCGCGAGCTGCTGATGCAAATCGCGCGGCCCAGTGCCAAGTTGTGGCGCGCTGGGGAAGAGGGCGACGCCGATCGGGCGCGGGCCCTGCTGTCGTGTCAGAGCGCGTTCGTGGGCCAGCTGGCGGGGGGCCGCGGCTACCGCGAGGCCGCGTGGTTCCTCGCGAGGATGGAGGCCCCGCCCGCGCGGGTTACCCGTCAGCAGACGGAGTCAGAGGCCCAGTCCCCGTTTTCATTGCTGGTGCGCCAGCGGTGGTTGTCGGCCCGCGGCGAGTGCGCGAATGAGCTGTAGGCCTTCCGCGCCCGCTTCGACGCCGAGCGGATTGCTGCATCGCCTGCGGGGCTCGAGCCTCCTCGCCCCCCGAAGGCGCCCAAGGCGCCGAAGCCTCTTCCCAGGGCGGAGGCGGCGCCCAAATGACGTTGCCATGCTGGCGAGCTGCGCGCCGCGCGCCAGCGCCTCGCGGCCGAGGTGAGCAGCCGCGGCGAGTCGTGCCAAGCGCCGCCGCTGCTGCCGGGCGTGCCCTGGCCGAGTGAGGCCGCGAGGGTGGAAGTGCGCTGTGCCGGCGATGCTGTTGCGGCCCCGCCAGGGGCAGGTTGTTCCTCCCTCGCGCCCTTCGCGTGGCTAGTGGCCGCCCCCCCCGGCCGGCGGGCCATTTTGGGTTTCGACCCCCTGGCTTTGACTCCCCCTCTGGAGGCCGCCGAAGCGGGTCGTGGTGTCCGCCCTGTCAGCGCATCCGCCCCCTTTGAGGTCGCGCCGTCTGTCGCGGACCTTTGTGCCTTGCTGCGCCTCTTCCTTGGCGCGAATGTTGATATCGCCCGCTGGGCCGCTGCCTCGGCCCGGGTTGGGGTGGGCGCTCGGTGTTCCCATGCGTCTTCCACCCGGTCTTCATCGCGTGCGTCGTTTCGGGACGACTCGTGCCTTTCGGAGTCGCATCCCCGCGATGCACGGCCGTGCCCCCCCGCGCCATCCATCGCTGCCCCTTCCGCCTCCTTGACGGGTCGTGGTCATGAGCGTTGGCGGCTGAGGCGCTCGGCGCGTACTTTGGCACAGCATGCTCTTGAAGTCTTGTTGCGCTGAACAGACTTACTCTTGACCAGCCTAGCTCCGCTTCCAACGATGCTCGGGTTTGCTCCGCGGTCTCGCCCTGCCAGGAGGGCATCCGTGCTCGCGTCGAGCGCGTGTGCCATATCGCAGTCGGCCTTGCCCGCGGTGGCAAGGTCGACTCGGGTCGAGCTTTCGCTAAGTTCGACGCCGCTGAGGTCTCGCTCCATGGCCTGGCTTCCCGTGCTGCAGATTTGAGGCCCCCTTTTACTTCCTCGTCACTCGCTCCCGGCCCCATGCGGCAGTGCCCGACCAGTGTCCCTCTCGTGCCTGGTTCGTTGGCTTCAGCGGCGGCTTTGGATTCCACACAAGTCGAGCGTTTCGATCGCAAGGTCAGGGCGTCCCGCATCAAATTGAATTGCTCACCTGTGTCTGATCCCACCCCTTCTCCTTCGACGACCGTATCCGCGAGGCTTTCTCAATCTTGAGGTGATGCGACTCCCGACGTCCGAGTGGCCCTGTGGCATCAAGGGGGCGCGCATCTACATGGACTGCGCAGAGCTGTGGGCCCTGTTCCAGAAGTAGGGTGCCTGCGGCGCCGTGCGCCAGGCCCCTAATCACTTCAGATCTTGCCAAGGGCTCGGGGTTCCCAAGGACAGCGATTTCGATCGCTTGATTCTTGACCCGACGGTCGTAAACAGCCGCTTTGTGTCCATCTCTTCTAGCGCGCAGCGCCTCGGGCAAGGCTTCTTGCTGTGCCGCATGAGCCTCGCGCTGGGGAAGTGGCTGGCTGTCTCCTGCGATGACTTGCGCGAGTTCGATTCCACTTGTCGGGCTCCTCCTGCTGGCCCGAAGCGGAGCGCCCTTTGCGCGCGCATCCCAGGGGATCGCTTCCGTGCCTGGCGCCCTGAGCTCGAGGGTCTGGATGCCGCCCCCTGTCTAAGTTCTCCAGCCGCGGGCGACAACCTTGCAGTGGAGGTTGTCAGCCAGCGCGGGGCGCGAGGGTGTGTTGCGCGCCTGTGTCAAGATGCTGCACGTCGATGATTCGATGGTCATACGGGCTTTTAGAAGCTGTCCTGGCATGGTGCCGCTCCCCGCCCCGACGGATCCAGTCGTCGTGGCCCCGAGGTCTTCGCTGCTTGCGATCACGGCTATCGGCTGTCCTCAGGTGAGTTTGGTACGGCACGCTGGGAAGCGCGCTCGCGGCCACAGTCATGAAGTAGTGGTGGTTGGCGCTGAGATCGATGGTCGGGTCGGGGTTGTCTGCGCTCCGCTCGTCCGTGCAGTGGCGCTCTGCAGATGGACCCTCATTCAGGTGTACCTCGGCTACTCTACGCGTGTCCTATTGGCGTCGCTAGTCAGTTGTTGGGTGCAGGTCTTCCTGTGTCGCCGCCCCCCCTGGCGTTCTTCGCCCATGTCTATCCCTGCGAGTTGCGCCTCGCCACTGGCGGCGGGATCTCGGTTGACGTCCCACATTCGGTGAGCGATGAGCTCCTCGCATGCATTTTTTCTGGCCTTCGCGGCTATCGCCGACCTTCGGGCCGCCTGCAGCCGCGAGGAATTCGGCGCGGGCGCTTTTCTCAGCTGGGGGGGAGTTGTCCGCGCTCCGATCAGCCCGCGCTTGTCTGTGAGATGCGGCGCAGGTCCGCGGCGGGCCGCGGCGTCCGGCTAGGCCCCGGGCTCGCCCAGTTGCACCGCGATTTGGGGCTCCTCTGTTTTGGGCCCTCGTCGCGCCTCGCTGGGTCGCCGAGCTGTCCGACGCGCTCAGTTTTCGCCTCGCCTACAGATTGGGGTTTAGGGTCCCGCGCC